AACAGAAAATCAGAAAAATATTTGCTTGCTTCATTGATTATTTCGTAGCTTCAGTTTAATGTTTCTTACGTTTAAAGTTTATCCTCTACGTTTTATTCTACGCAAGTAACGGAAGACTGATCAATTCTGACGCGCGATCGTTCATAATATGGCTAATTAAGTTGCTTAATCGATTAACACGTTTTTTTTAATATCAATATTAATATATAAAGTTACATAATTACACACGGCAGGGCACAGCAAAGTGGTAGACAAACAGGGACGACTGCTTTGCCGCTGCTTGATTTTGATTTACTTTTGCCGGACGCCTCGTACTCGTATTTCGCTTTAGCCTTCTGCCATCCTCCCTGTAAAAATATGGATGATAATTATATTATACGTTGTGTATGATTCCAAGGATATTTGTTATGCATATATTTATATTTTCCAATTAATTTGGATAATGAGTAGAAATAGATAATAGCAAGAAATATATTGCACAGGGTGTTTCAGGGAGATTAATAAATACATACACCAAGTAATTTGTCCCTCTAAACCATGCAACTTTTGCATATAATAATTTTTCATCGATCGTATAATTTTATTTAACTTTTACGTAAGGTGAAACATCTAACTGTATACTCATTATATTAACTCATGGATCTCGTTTAAGACTAAATTACTCATTGTGAGATTAGTAAATTTCAAATAAATAATGTTTTGAATGATGTTTTATATATATATATATATATATATGATGATATATAAATTTATTTCCGAGTTCGCCGAAAATGATTACAGCATGATTACAGCATGATCACAGCATGATTATAGCACACCTTTTGGTTTTCGTTGCTTTTTTTTTTTGTTTTTCTGTGTACATCGAGCATGATTGTATAAAAATTTATATTAATTAGATCGGAACGATGGCAGCGCATCAAGTATCAACGACAAAGGATTATCATCTCGTCGTGAAAAATTTAGCCTATTGTACAAAGGCTGCACATCTAATTACTGCCTTTCGTAAATATGGAGTGAAGTACGTCGAGGTAAGACGAAGAAAATCAGGGGAGGCTCGAGCTTCTCTAGGCTTCATCAGTTTGGATAGCGCTGACATAGCGTTAGACGCGGCAGCTAGCGGCATTTACCTGCACTCTAGAAAATTGGAGTTACGATATAGCAGTTATTACAACAAAACTAAAATGGGAATAACGCCGCCTGTTCCGATGGATTACGTAAACAGCATATTTAGTATATTACCTGTAGAAATAATCTCGAAAATAATTGAATATTTACCTTATGAGGATCAAGCAAGATTAGAACGAGTATCTAAATTATGGCGGTTGGCCAGTTTGAACTCTCACAGTGGAATGAAACACTTCGAAATAAACACTAGATGGCCAAGTGGTTGGCATGGCACAGAATTGACGCGGAAGTGTTTTTATTGGCTAATGAATAGATCAAAGAAATACGTAAAGTCATTAAAGTTATCTAATTTCACAGTGTTGAACGATCTGTCAAAGATCTTAGCAGTGGCCGTAAGAAGCTGTCTGTATCTACATGAAATAAATTTCAGAGAGACTATTTTCACTGTGGAGATGGCGAAAGATCTATACTTCATAGCTCCGAGATTGACCGCAATAACATTAGGACGATCTAAAGGCCCAATAGAACCACTATTGACAAAGATATTCAAAAAAGCGAAGAAATTCATGAAACTCAGACTGGTACGGACAATTGTAACAGGAGAGTCACTTACGTATTTAAATATAAATTTAGAGAGTTTAATTATTGACCATTGTCATTATGTAGAGTCATCATACATGTGTGAAGCTATAGAAAGATTTCGAAGTCTTAAACACCTGGAGATCAATGCATGTATGGAACTGGACGACAGTATACTTCAGGCCTTAATATGTAATACTTATATATCGAAGACAATAGAAACATTGAAACTTTCCTACTATCCAATCCCGATACCGAATTACAATGGAGAACAAATACTACCACAGTTCGAACATCATGAATTCTATATAGAGTGTAAGCCTGGCCCTTTTTTATTGGGCATTTCGCTCGTACAGTGTTATACAAACATCAAGCACCTGACCTTCAAATTTTGTGGCTGGGTAACGAAAGAGGTTGTTAGTGAAATAGCTAAGAATTTGCCACAACTTGAGTACTTAGATCTCAGTGGATGCACCAATATCATCGGAGTTTTAGCATTGAATCCACTTTCGAAGTTGAACAATATAACTACAATAAAGTTGAACCATCTTCATCCCACGATAGACGGTTCCCTACTAAAAGAATTCAACAAAGTAAAACAAATTTCTTGTAGAAATAGCTTAGGATTCAATGACAGTGCCATTTGCGCAGCGATAAAGAATTGCCCGTATTTGTCAAAGATAATTGTAGAGGATTGTCTTGGAGTAGGAAAACCTGTAATTCAATGCGCACTGTCCATTATTCGTAACAACAATAGAACATTACCATTAACTATATACGTAAACGGCAGCGGAATTAGGGAAAATATAAAATATATGTCGAATGATATTCTCGAAATTTGCCATAGCCGGTTACGCTTTTGCGCTTACGAAGTACTTGTTCCTTGCCGAGGTCGAATACCTTTCTTTTGTTACATTTTATAAACGATTACATTTAGCCAATGTACATAATACAGAATAAATTTATAATATAACATATAATCATTTATGTATGTATATAATTGTTTAGTAATCGTAAGTTTATAAATTGTGATATTATATTATATAGTAATAATATTAAGTATAAAAATTATAAATGAAAATTATAATATTGTAAATACTAAGTGTTTTTTTTTTTGTATGATAATTTGTTTTTTTTTTTTCTTTGTATGATAAAACATTTGTATCGCAATAATAGGTTGCTTCGTGTCTTCCACCTGTCTTGTTTCGATAAGAACTTTACAATCTTTTTTTTTTGTGCTGGTTAGAACCACACGGAGCTTTCCATTCAATCGAATTTCGTCAGTACTGAAAGTCGACGTTGAATCTTGATTTTCCATGGTCATCGAAAATCTTTCAAACTCTTTGGTCTAACTAAAATTTTTGTAAATTAAAAGTGTGTAATCGCAAGTGGTTTGTTCCTTTGCTCTTTTCTTGCACATTGGTCACATTATTTCCTTGGCTCACCAAATTGAATTTGATGATAACATCCGTCCTTCTTTCTAACTTTTTTTGTAACAGCATAACTGTTTGTATCAATTATTATTTCATTTAGTAACTCATCGGTAAAAAATATCTTCAACGT